AAAAAAAAAAAAAAAAAAATCAAGAAAACCTAAAAAGGTCAATTATTTCATCTACGGATCAGGAAATGATGCAGTTGATGAAAGACTGTGCTAAGCATCATCTGCTAACAAGTATGGTCAGTATCTTCCATACTCATGCTGCTTCGCCTGCTACTCGTCTTTGAAGCGCCAGGTGACACTGAGGAAAGTAGTGGGTCGGTTACACCTACGGGGGACAGAGTGTCGTCCATCAAGATATCTTCCAGTTTGGATCCCATTTTTGTGGGAACGTTGTAGGCATTGCTAGAGTCAGTCACATTTCCTAAGTTATCGCTGAAAGTGATGGTACCATCAGTAAGATCAAGGGTAGTAGTGCAAGAAAGATCTGTGTGATGTTGTATGATATCCTGGTTGCAGTTGTCAATAACAGGTTCTTGTTTGATGGCCCGATTTACCATGTCAGGTGAGCAAAGGCCGGTAGATGGAACAAGGGAAAGTCCATGTGCTCGAGCCTGCATCTCAAGCTCCTAGGAAGAAGAAAACACAAATACAAATAGACAGCCCTGAATATAGAGACCCGGCAAAATATTGGGCAATGCTAATATATAGGATTGATTTCCAATGGATGAACACAATGTCATCCCAGCAGTTCCCTTATCACCAAGGAAAAATCACCTGCAGCCAGATATCGTCTCATTTCACTCAAGATCACTACTTCAACAATGCTCTTTTAACAGCTTAAAACGAGTGGTTTCTTTTCCAGGCCCTTTGACCCTCTCCCAGGTATCTAGCCTGTGCCAAAAGGCATTCAACATGCTATACTATTAAGACCTGCAGCACATCTGCAAGCCAACCATGAATTAAAATTCTCAACAGATACTCAGATTGGTGGGGGGGCTAAAATAATCAGGGCAAAGCTTTACTATAATGTGTTACGATGCCAGCACCACAAGGCTGTCTCACTTTATTATAACTTACTTCAGGCTTTAGGTATTAAAGATGCCAACATACAGACAGATATGCAAGCAGCGAGACTCAAACTCCCCCTTTTTTGAGGTTAAGTACTCCCTTGGCCTACAAATCCATCAATCTGTGGTACAAAAACCACAGTGAGGGGCCACTACTAGACTACAATTCACTCTAATGAGATCTGCCATTGTCATGGGCAGCTGGGGTCAGATCCCATATTCAGACTCTATATAGTCTTGTGGGAAGAATGAGATAGACTATAAGTAGCGATCTGTTTATTCCTTAAAGAAAAAAGAGAAAAAAATTAATCTCTCCATTAATACAAAATTTAAATACTGGGCTATAATGAACATAAAATTCTCTCTAACAATCTAGAGCCTGGCCTATACTCCTTAGGTGTATTTCCATTACTTGCAAAAAGAATAAAAGGACGAGAAGAATTCTTCTGTTTTATTTTTATTGTCCATTGCTTCATTTTATCTATTTTTGAATCATTGTATGCCATGTACTGTAAACCGTGTTTAAATTGCATCAATTGGTAGAACAGATAATCTTACTTTTATCTAATTTTAGACTTATAGCTAAAAGCATAATGTTACTGATCTATTTTTATTGTTCACTTTACTGTATTGGTTTAGCAAAAGCAGTAAATAAACCATTACTGCTACGTATTATTAGAATCAACACTATACAGAAACTGAACCTCAGGGGGGAAAAAAAAACAGTGATGGCTGTGAAGTCCTGCTATTCATCGCAGGTCTAGAGAAGAGCAGAGGTGTCTCTAAAGGATCTCATTGTCTTTAGTGGAAAAACCTCTATGGTTTTCATCAGTGTGCTGCTTAATGTACTAGCAATTTGTTTTAAATAATAAACATATCTCCTCGATTTTAATCCAAAGTATGTAGTGGCAGGTTGGAGGTGGGGGGTAAGGAGGGGTGTGTTATGCCTAAGGAAAAAAGGTATTTAAATATGAAAAAGAAAGTGGTAGTGTTGAAGCAATGCTGTAGCCATGGGAGTTCAGGAAACACGCAAGAGTTGAGGGTTTTTTCCCCTGGGTGATATCTTTTATTGAACCAACTCTATAGTTAGGAGAGACTTTAGGCAAGGTTTCAGGCACAAGGTACCCTTCCTCAGGTTGGAAATGCAGTTTGGGGTAATAACAGTTAGAACGAGGGAAAAAAATGGACATGTAGTCTTGATGTAAACACACACTGAGTTCTGCCTGCACAGAGGACCTGAGCCAACCCCTGTCATGATCAATGGAAAAGCATCTTGGATGCGCCCAGGACATGGCTCCACAAACACGTCTGTGGTGCCCTGTACTGCAGGTTCAGTTGTACTCTGTGCTGCAAGGAAGCAGCTCAGAGGGGCTTTTTGACCCTTGAATATCTAGGGGTCAAAAAAAACCAGTAGAAAAAAAAAAAAGTTGAGTGGCACACGCAGTGTGGCCATGCAAAGATGAAGCGTGCCCAGCAGAAGCCGTGCTCTGCTGCCAGCCAAGCTCCATGCAGCAGGAGCAATGCAGCTGCAGCCCCAGGATCCCAAGTAAGACTGGTGGTTGTTATTTCCTTAGCTTGAAAACAAGAAAGTTTTGTAAGAGGACATCAAAGAACCAAAAGGAAAAGCAGAAACCTTCAAGGATCAACAGCAGAAAAATTTTAAAAAAGGACTTGCTGCTCTTTCTATTTTGATAAACATTGCACTGCATTATGTAGGGGTCCAAACCAACCCAAGGGGAAAGCATCTCCAGGTTATTAGCTTCTGGCTGTTATTTGGGCTTGTGGGAAGGTGTGCTATTTAAACTATTCTGACTCACCTGGGATCAAGCATTGATGGAGAGTATGAAAGGAGATGAGAGAAACTGTTAGACTTATGTCAAGGCTGGGACAGATCAAACCGCTAGGCATCATGCTTTCAAGAAGCATGCCTTCCTGTGCTCTCATTTCGGCATCCCAAGGCTGTTCAAGAAAATTGCTAACGCACTTAAATGAAAGCAGAGTCAAACCCAACATATATACCTCTCTGTTAAGGATGTTTGCTGCTGTGCTCAGGCACCTGACCTGTCACAGAAGAAAACGAAGCCAGGCACATTTTCTTTTTCCCTTGACCCCCCTGCTACATCAATGTGCTCATTAATGAGACTTGTGGCAAGACCTGTAGAGCTGGAGGCACTGGGTTACCCCTCACCAACTCCTCCTTGAGTTGAGGACTTGGGCCATTAGGACTCTGGATGCAGATCACGTAGATGGAACATCCTGTCCTCTGGAAAAAAAATCAGCTAGAAAGTAGGGCAGAGATACTCAACAAGGTGTACCTACAGAATGCCCCTTTAAAATGGAAAACAAGCTGCCCAACCCTGCAGACTCCAGGCTTCAGAGGGGAAAACACAGCCTAGGTCCCTGGATACAGGAGATGTCAGCATTCATGACTCCTACTTCAGTCTTGCTACAATGGCCCTAGTGATCAGCAGCCATTAGGAGGGTCTCCTTAGAGCACCAGAGAGAGGGGACACCAGACAGAGGAGACGTCCGAGGGGTTAGACACAGCTGACAATGGCACTTCACTGTGCACACGAGCCATGCATCTTAAATCATTCAGAACATATTTAATCAGCAAACCTGTATTCTAAGCAAGAGGTGCCTGTTGGCATGTTCCAATTTCTTCTGCCTGTTTTCAAGTTCTTTTGTGCGCTGCTGTTCTCTTTGCAGTTTGCGGATATAATCCACCGATGCTTTCAAAATAGTTCCCTTATTCCAGCGCATGTCCCTTTAAGAAAAAGAAAACAAAAAGCCATGAGCCTCTTTGTAAAGGGACACAGATTACAAGAGGGGGTGGGGAAAAAGTGTAGTGCTGCAGGAGCAGCTACGTTTCTACTCAAAATTACACCACACTCCCCATATTAGAACAAGGCTCTTGCAAGCTTTTAATAAAAAAATAAAAAGCCTTTTGCAATAATGCACTAGGGGGAGCTAGAAGGTCACTCATTCCCAAGCAGAGCGCTTCAGAGATTTCATTATTCCAGCATTACTGAAGGACACGGAGCTGTGTGCGAGTTTGCTCCCCACCAGTTTCTCATGCGGAATGGCGTGCCCGTTAGTGCCCAATTATAGCATCAGTAAAGACTGCTCAGCTAAGAACACAACACTTATAGCAAGCATCATGTCCTCTGAATAACCAGTGCTCCTTGTCACACCTTGGACCTTTTAACCACACTATTAAACTCACATTTCCTAAGGACCCATGTTGCAGGGACGTGCTGCAAGGGGAGTAAAGTCTAGGAGGCTTTAGCAAAATTCCTGTGGCCTCAATAATATACCCAGGTGGGATATTAGAGTGACCAATTCCACAAAGGCAGTGCATTATGGTGATCTATTGGTTAGGGAATACAGTCAGATCTACTACCAGCTGTGACAGTACCCGCGTCCTGAAGAAGAGCAAAACAGTCCTTTTGCAAGTAAGTTGTCCCATGGTATTTCACCCTGACTTGTTTCACACTGGAAACAGAAGTTGCCCTAGGAAATATCCCCTGTTCTCAGTGATGGCATCAATTACACTGGATGTGGGGGGTGGATCTAGCCCTAATATTAATGGCTATCAAGCTATTATAATATGTACACAATGGCAAATTGCAGAACCAACACTATGGTACAGAATACCAGAGTCATCTGATGATGCCATTGGGAAGGGTAGGAAATGTGTGATGTAGGGCAAATGACACAAGTAGAACAAGAATTAACAGAACTGGAAGAAAGTGTTTCGGCACATTTCTGAAGCTGTTAGTAAGAAGAGAGACTTGCTTTTCATAAGAACTTCAGAGTACTGATATAGTGTTAATCACCACAGCAAAATCACTTTGTCTATATATCTAACCACTTGATAGATGCCTATCTAGATAATGCACAAAACAGGTAAGTACTTTATTAATTACCACGTGGCACTGAGAAGGTTGTTATATCTCCCATCCTTTATGACAAAGGAAGTAAATGGGCTGCCTCTACATTATCACATCTCTGCCAAGAATGTATTTATACCAGTAACAGAACAAAACATGAACTGAGAGTTTCACCACTTTGTGATCGTTTATAAAAGAAACCCCATCAGCAATCTTCCCTTTTTGGTACCAGCATGAATGGACAGAGCCTCAGTATCCATGACTTTGGGCTGCTAATGGAGAACTAAATTAGATATCCAAGCACAAATGACTAGAAATCTGCATTCTTTACTTGGTTAACAGCTCCCTCTCACTTGTACTGGACAGTGGGGTATATCAGAATTAGGATTTATGTTCCTGCGCTTAACAGTATTCATGAAGCATCAGCCAAGTCAGCTCAGTGGCCAAATAAATGTCACAATCAGGTATCTCCAGCAGGGACCAAAGAACTGTTCATTCGTGCAACCAAACAGTTGGTAAGCAGAAGCCTTGCTTCCCTTTTATTTCGTTTTTAGTTTTTTTGTTTGTTTGTTTGTTTGTTTTGGGAGGGGGGGAGGGGGTGTCCTTAAAAGGACAAAGCACCTACAAGCAACACTATTTTCCATCTAGAAGATAGTCAGGCTCATCCACTGTTCTGTTGAAAAGTGGTTAGTAGCAGCAACTGCAGAGGAAGACAAAACTCCTGTGAGCGACAATAATGTATTAATATCAGGAGGAGAAGATTCTCCTACCCCAAGCAGTTACTGCCTCAAATGCCCATGAAACCAATGGAAACATTAAACATGAGCTTCAGGGGCACTAAAATCAGCCTTTAGGGATTTGCTTATGTCCAGAAGCAGGGAGTTTCCTATAGAGCCGTGCGAAGCTTCAGTAGCCGATTAGCGGCTCCTGCTCCTGAACAGCATGCGGAGCACTGCAGCGCCCTGCCGAGCAACTCTGCACTCACGCGATGCAACAGCTGCCAAGCAGGTGCCAGGCTGGGACTGATCCCCGCTACCCTGCGCTGCACAGGGGGGCTCTGCCATGAACCCCCAGAGGCTCCAATTGCTGCTGCTGCAGCCAGTGAGTGCAGGGCTATTTTTTTT